ATAAAGAAACAACTTCATGAAGCTATAGAAGAACTTAGAACAAAAATACTATTACAGGTAAAAGAAGATATGAGAAACATAATAAAAGAATTGCTAAGCACCTCTAAAGACACAGATGGAAGAATAGTGGAGCATAGAAAAAGGAGAGAAACCTTCAATGAATATAAAAAAAAATTTAGAATACATGAAACAGATTCAAAGAGATTACAGGAAATTAAAAAGCTCCATTGAAAGCTGGCAAAACTGCTTGAAAGAAACTAAAGATAGACTATTGAACCTTAAAGGCAGGTTTGCAGCTTGTTATCCCAAAAGGAAAGATCTCCTAAAAATAACAAGGAACCAGGAAGTAACAAGACAAAGGCTAGAAGATGACAAGAGGAACTATAACTTAAGAATAAAACACGTGAAGCAAGCACCTCCCCTCCCTGGTAAGTGGTGGCAGTGTGGCAGACTGCGGCCCTCCCAGGGGGAGAACCAGCAGCAGCTCCTGAGATCCGCACCATGTTGGAACTTAGGACCCTGGGAAGCCAAGCAAGCACCTCCCCTCCCTGGTAATCAGTGGCAGTGTGGCAGATTGCGGCCCTTCCAGGGGGAGAACCAGCAGCAGCTCCTGAGATCCGCACCATTGGAACTTAGGACCCTGGGAAGCCAAGCAAGCACCTCCCCTCCCTGGTAATCAGTGGCAGTGTGGCAGATTGCGGCCCTTCCAGGGGGAGAACCAGCAGCAGCTCCTGAGATCCGCACCATTGGAACTTAGGACCCTGGGAAGCAAAGCAAGCACCTCCCCTCCCTGGTAATCAGTTGCGGTGTGGCAGACTGCGGCCTTTCCAGGGGGAGAACCAGCAGCAGCTCCTGAGATCTGCGCCATGTTGGAACCTAGGACCCTGGGAAGCAAAGCAAGCACCTCCCCTCCCTGGTAAGTGGTGGTGGTCTGGCAGACTGTGGCTCCTCCAGGGGGAGAACCAGCAGTAGCTCCTGAGATCCACACCATGTTGGAACTTAGGACACTGTGAAACTAAACAAGCAGCCTGCCTCCCTGCTAAGCAATAGTGAACCTACTGATGCACGGCCTAGAGTCAAATATCCCATTTGCCCTACCCCCTTTTCCCCCCCGTCCCCACTGCCCATTAGCAAATGGGAACCAGAAATCTGAGCGGCTCCTGAGAGGTTGACCATAGCAAATAAGGGGGACTCCTTCTACCATCTCTTTGAAGGCAAATATTTTTATCACTGTTTTGCTCTTTTCTGATTAATGACACTGCTCTATTCAATATTCTGTTTTGATAAGTTCTATATTTCATCTCAATTTGATATACGTGATTGAAGGAACAACAATTATAAAGATAACAAAATATACTGTGATACCTATTACTGTTATCCCAGTAACCTGCTGTGAAGTTCTGTACCAATTTCACTGTACGATGTTAATTGGCTTTATTCTGTCTTGCTCTGTTGTATACTTTCAAAATAAAATTAAAAAAAAAAAGAATAAAACACATGGGCTGGGGATTTAGCTCAGCGGCATAAACGCCTGCCTGGCAAGCACAAGGTCGTGAGTTCAATCCCTGGTACCACCAAAAAAAAAAAAAAAAAAAAAAAGAATAAAATATGTGAGTGAAAAAGCAGGGGTAAACACAAATGAAATACAAAGGCTATTTACAGAAATAACTAAAGAAAACTTCCCAAGCTTAGGAAAAGGAAATGATATTCAGATAAATGAGGCATACAGAACTCTAGCCAGCTATAACCAAAATAGATCTACACCCAGACATAATAATCAAGATCCTAGAAATTCAACACAAGAACATAATATTAAAAGCTGTCAGAGAAAAGAAACAGATCACCTATAAAGGAAAACCCATCAGAATCACAACAGTCTTCTTGATACAAACCATCAAATCAAGAAGAGCTTGCAGTGAAGTATTCCAAGTCCACAAAAAAGTGGGGGTAGCTTGCTCATCAGCTGCAGATTGGTTAGAAAACCATAACACTTTTATACAATGGAAAACTACTCAGCTATAAAGGGAAAAAACTTTGAGGCTCTTGTAGGTAAATGGATACCACTTGAGGTCATGCTCAGGGGTGAAAAGGTTCAGAATCACTGAAGTGAATAGCAGGTTGCCTCCCTAACTTAAAAACTAAAGGAGTTAGTGGGATACAAAATATACAATGCACTCTATGAAAATGAAAGGGGAGGAATTATCTAAACAGGGAAGGCAGTGGCCACTGTTCTTTTATCATGATTTGAAACCCATATTGTTTTCATTGTTCTCTTTAGTTTGGTCTTATTCTGTTCTAGTTTGTTTACTTGTATTAGATTTGATGGCATGGACAGCTATCAAGTCTGAGGGTATACTGCTTTGAAGACAATAAGATTCACTATGAAACCCATTCTGGTTTGACTATTAACTTTTTTTAAAGTCCTGTAATGTCTCCAATGCTTTGTTTTTATTGGTTTTGTTCTGTACTGTTTTGTTCAATTTTATTATGCCTGATAATATGGGCAATTCTTTTGAAGATAAAAAGAGGCATTATGGTAACCATTGTTAATCACCTTGTATTTTTTTTAAGTCATGTACTATCTCCATCCTATTGTTTTGATTGATTTTATTTTGTTTTTTTCATATTTGGTTTTATTCTCTTCAAAATAAAAAAAATACAAAATACAAAATACACTTACCCCAGATAAAATACTATTTTGGAAAGTATTAGATTTTAAAAACTACTATTGACGCATTACTCAAAACAGGGCTCTCTTCAGATACAATGCTATTTTGCAAAGGCTTAGATTTTAAAACCCATCCTTGATTTTGTCTAAAAAAACCCCACTGAATGCACTGCCTTTTCATGGTACAGGTAAAATACTCCTTTTTTCACTAAGATATATGTTTTCCAAAGGTTCATATTTTTCTGCTTTGCTTATGTCTCACTTGGACCTATCATTATACATGATGCTCAATGAATATTTTGAAAAGAATTAAATCTAGTATATAATGAATGACTGAATCCAACAGCTCTTTAACCCACCATTTCTCTATCTTGTGCTATTCCTAAAATGTATATTTCATGATCTGTACTGAATATACCATATTTTTTACCTAGTCCTTTTATTCTTATAACTGCTGCTTCTTTGAGAAAACATATCCCAAGAATCCTATGTAGCATATGGCAAGTACTCAATAGACATTTGTGGACTTGATTAAAACTTCTAAAACAAAATAAAAATCTACAGGAAGTACTATTGTACTGATTATGTTATAAGAGTCCCAGAAGGTAGGGGCTGGGGATTTAGCTCAGGGGCGTAAGTACCTGCCTGGCAAGCACGAGGTCATGAGTTCAATTCCTGGTACCAAAAAAAAAAAAAAAAAAAAAGTCCCAGAAGGCAGTAACTGTCTAAATTTCTGCAAACAACAGCTCATGTAACTAGATACTTAATAAGGCAGTTTGGTAACAAATCTGATTTCCTCATTCTTTCAGAGTTTGTGATTTTCATGATGAATTTAACTTGTTTCACTTCTTTCAATTTAGAAAAAAAGTTTTGAAGGACAGTAGTCTCATAGGCTAATGAAAATTATTTTTGTGCTTAGTTCCTGGATGAAACTGTAATACTTGTATCACATCTGAACGAGTGACTACACAGCTTTCAATACTCAAGATTGACTAATTAACATTTCTTTGACTAGAAGCAAATTAAGAGAATAACTGTTGACTCTAAAACTGGTTAGCCCAGGAAAGTGGTTTAATTCAATCTTAATGTAAAGAAATGAACAGAAAAGCCGGGCATGGTATTGCACTCCTGTAAACGCAGAACTTGGGAGGCTGAGGCAGGAGAATCATTTGAAAGTCCAAGACCAGCCTGGGCTACAAAGTGAGCCCAAGGGCAGTCTGAACTGCATAGTGAGACCCTGTCTCAGAAAGAAAGGAAAAGGAAAAGGAAAAAGGAAGAAAGGAAAAGGAAAAGGAAAAGGAAAGAAAGGAAAAGGAAAAAAAGGGAAAGGGAAAAAAGGAAAAGGGAAAGGAAAAGGGGAAGGGGAAGGGGAAGGGGAAGGGGAAGGGAAAGGGGAAGGGGAAGGGGAAGGGGAAGGGGAAGGGAAGAGAGAACACTCTATTCCAACTCACTCAACATTTCCCTTCCTTTCCTTCTCAAAATGTGTTTTAGAGCTGTTTTCACAATAAACAGATTAACTAAAAATTTTAACTTTTATGTAAGAACTCACAAATATAAAATAAAATCTCATTCTTTCAGATATTCAAACTAAGTCAAACTGAAATTCGAAGGTTTATGAGATTTCATCTCTTTTTCTAGTGTTAAAAAAGGGGTAAATATGGCCTTAGGCTGAAGCTCTGATATTTGATCTCAAACTCCCAAATAGAGTACATTCTATTTTTTTTACTTCAAGTGGAAAAAGTGGCCTGTTCTCTTTTGGCCACATATTCCAAAGGTCTTTTAATCCTGACAATTTAAAAAGTTCTTAGACTTTTTTCCTTAAATATCTCCTATGTTAATCTACAACTGCTCTCTAAAGAAACTGCAGAATAGCCAAGCACTAACCTTCTGCCATATCATCATATATTAATTTCCTTTTCTGGCACTGTTCTCAAATTAATTAAAATTACATATGTGATCCTCATTTCTTTGAGCTGTTTATCATACCATTGCTTTGCTTCCAGAAATCATCATGGATCCCTAGAACAAAAGATTTTTCTCTGCTGCGGCAGGTTTTCCTACCACAAAATGCAAAAATAATGCCCGACAACTGTCTCTTTTACAAGACAAAAGGGAAAAAAAGTATGACTATACCCATAGTAGAATATTTATGTTAAATACTCAGAAATAATTAAGAACTGCACCAACAAGTTCCATGGGGCAAAGAGAATGCAAACTAAAATTAACATCTATTTCCATAGTTTATCTGATATCAGGGAAAACGCTTCATGCCTATTCCTTTATCTCCTACTTCAAAGCAGAGCCCACAAACCCAGTGAGTAGCCTAACATACCTCCTCTTCTCCCTGGCTTCCACAGAGGGGTCTGCTGCAGTAGAGGACGACACTGTGACAGCTGTGATCCCATTGGCAGTGCTAGGTGGAGGACGATTGGTGATCACGCAAAGCGGGGTGCTAGAGGAGACAGTGTCTGCTGTTTTCTCTGCTGTTGAGTCAGCCTGTGATTTGTAAGGAGTCCTGAAATTAAAAAATACACAAACAGAAGGACAATGATCAGGTATCGACACAACAAAGCACTGGCACAGAGACAAGAAGGTTAGAGACAGATTAACTACAGAATCTTCCTGCTCTGCTTTTATTTGTTGGCTCGTTAATTCTGAGCTCTTACAGCTCAGAATAGTATGACTGTACATTTAGTCTGGTATTCTCTGCCTAAGGATTTATATGAGAAATATTTTTGCTGAGATTAAAAACCAACAAACAAAAATAAGCTATGGCACAAAGCAAGAAAATGACATATGCAAAAGTGCTTTAAATGATTCCTCACTACCATCTGGCTTCCCTCCACTCATGCACACAGACAGCATCTCTTTATACATGAAAAAGGCACTAAGGTCACTTACGATATTGGTCTCCACCTGTCCCTTAATTCTTGGCAGTGGACGTCTTTTTGGTTGTCCTCAGTCTAGATTTGATGACCATCTTCTTAGATTATCCATGTGAAAATACTCTACAACCTCAGTATGCTTAGTTCTCCCTCACCTACTTCAGCAACAACAGTCTCTATTAAACAAATGCTTAATTTCTATATTCATAAGTGCATAAGTGAGAAACTGAAACAAAAATAAAATAGGATTCCATGTGTACCCTTTACTGTGTAGACTTTCAACAGCAAGCTGTATAATTAAAGTCATTTATGTGAAAATAAGATCTTTGTTTCTTAACAAAGAGTAAGAAGCAACCATTGGCTCTCCACCCAAAAAGCTATCATTTGTGATGTCACAGCTTGTTGCTGGGGTAACAGAGATCCAAAATTGATACAGTACTCACAGAGATGGGAAAGGCAATGAAAAGCATCAATGTAAAATCTCGTTTTTACCTGACAGTTATTACCAGAAATATGTACAAGTAGCTGCAAGCTGGCTTCCAAATAATCACTATTAGAATAAGCATAAAGGAAATGATAAAATCGTAAGTCCAAATACCTGGACACAAATATGAAACTGGAATACTTTTAAAGATGAAGTGGTATCCAAAATATACAGGCTACTTCTCCAGAAGCACTGAGAATGTGAAATTTTACGTGTTTTCTAATTTAAAAACTGAAGGGAAATAATTTCTCAGATGTATTAGTCTATAGGAAATACTGATAAAATTACCCAAAAACACAGCTATAGAAAAATTATCCAAGCTGGGGATAGTGATGCACACCTGTAATCCCAGCACTTGAGCAGGAGGATTACCATGAGTTTGAGGCCAGCCTGGGGTACACCTGTAATATCAGTTACTCAGAAGTCTGAGTCCAAGCATTGGAGGCAAAAAAGCAAGACCTTGATTCAAAATACAAAATACAGCCAAACAAAAACTTTTATACTGAAGGTTTACCTGAAAAAAATTTTAGTTTAATACCATTTTGGTCTCTCTACAATTTCCTAAGCTGTTGAAACGCCACAGTTTTGGCTTTGTTTGATTTTACAATAGGGTTTTTACTATTTGAAATGTATAATTTCTTTTTATTATGTAGCAGAGATCAATCTCAAGCCCTCATACTTGATAGCCAAGTGCTCTACTATTGAGCTGTGTTTCCCAGCCTAAAATGTATTATGATTCTACAAGCAGACTGGTAGAAACACAACAGTATAAACTGTGAGCAGGGATAACAGGCTGTATATTGGAGAATAAATGTAGAACCGCTTGGAATTAAATTTAAGCCAATTTAACTCTCTAATCTCTTTACCTGTAAAATAGGGAAAACAATATCCTAACATTCAGGGTTCTTATGGAAATTAAATAATGTATGTAGAACACCTAATGTAGTGCCTAGAATACAATATAAATTCAGTAGAAACAAAGTAGTGACAAAATAGGTAGGAGCCTGAATGGTCAAATTTGGATTCAATCCTGCCTACTCCTCACTAGCTTGGACTAGTGACTAGACTTTGGGCCTCAGTTACCGCCCCTATAAGAGGAATACTTCATACAATGGGGAGTGCTTTTTTGGTACTGGTAATCGAACCACAACCTCATGCTTGTCAGGTAGGTGCTGTGCCACTGAACTATATTCCTGGTCCCTGCAAAGTGCTTTCTGAGACTCTAAGTAATATACATGTATCTGAAGCAGCTAATTGTCTACCCATATCTATTGTCTCTTTCTTCCTAATAAAACTCTGCATTATTGAAGGGATCAGTGCACCTATTAAAAATCCAGAGTTAAAAAGTGTCCCCAAATGCTGGCAATATTCAAAAGGGAGGAATAAAAGAAAAGAAGTACTCCTGAGAAAATTCCCAGGTGAGAGGCACTCCCCTTTGGCCTGTTCTTCCCTTGCTTGTGCTTTCTGACTAGAATGCAGCCTGGATGGCTAGAGCTGTAACAGTTGGACCATGAAATAAAAGTCTACTATTAAGATTATAGTGCAGGAAAACTGAGAAAACTGGATCCTTTAATGATCGTAGAGCTATTGTGGAGCTCTATTTCTGAACTTTAAGTACAATAAAAATTTTTTTATCATATGTGGATTTACTATTACTTACAAGTAACGCAAATCTCAATGTAATTTTTGTATAGTACCTAACTTGATGCCTGTTGCACAACAGGATTCAACAAATGAGAGCTGTATTTCTTTTTACTCAGTTTCAGTTTTTATCAGTTCATCTAGAACTGATAAAATACATTTCTGACTAATAATCTGTCATAAGCTTGTCCTTCCTCAGAAGTAACTGGATTATAATACAATTAATTTCTACATAATTATAGTGTTATTAATAATAATCCATCACGAACTTGTCTTTCCTGGACAAATCAATGATCCCTTCTTTTAGGGAAGAAATCTAGTAGATAGACAAATATCAATCAAGCACCACCATAATTGGTGTTTGTGCAACAATACCATCATAAACATTTTTTTGGTTTTCTTTGTGTCAACTGTAGGGATAAGATCAACAAAGCCATACCCCAAAACAAAAAGACCTCTGACCACATGAAAAGGAATAAAAACCAGAGTTAAAACTGTAATTAAAGTCCTGCTGTACTTTCACAGTGAGACTCTGCCCGTGCTACCTGCAGATGAACTAGGAACCACGCATACTGCTCCCAGTACACAAGTTAGGCAAACACAAATCTTTCTCTTCCCACAGTATTCCCAGAAAAATATTTTCATTGGCAGAAAGCTGCAAGAGGCTTTTGGAACATGCGTTAGCTTTCCTTGTAATTTGAGTCTCCATGCCACCTTCCAAAATGACTAGGTACATGAGATCTCTACCTATGATCAGTAGAAAATCTACATAAGTAAAACATAGGAAGTATTTTTAATATTTAATTTTCTACAACAGGTTTGCCCCTTAGTTATCACAACTGTTAAGCATGTTAAGGAGATGAAATCAACAATGCTAAGTTGACTCCTGAACACCAAGTACAATGATACATATTCTATGTTATTCAATAAGTAATTGTTGACTGATTAATGAAAACCAAAGCACCTTCATTAACTTAGGGACATTTTCATGGGAATTCAAACTTGGTTCTAGAGTGCCCAAACCTCTGTTTCTAATCCCAAAAGTGCTCCCAGAGGCATTAATTTGGATGAATGCAACTGGAATGGCTCCAAGAAGCCTTACCTGCCATGTTGTACTGATGCACTGATTGGTGCAGAGCAAGAGGCAGGTTGCCACTGGCTGCCCCGAGAGGTAGATGAACCAATGGTAATGGGTGAGGTAGCAGGAGGTGAATTGCGATTGGTTGAAATGTAGGGAGTTGTGGGGTCACTACTTCTACCAAATGAAGCACTGCAAAACAGCACACAGTCACTTTCTTCAGGACATGCTGTTTACCCACCATTTCCCAGTACCACCTTCCCACCCTGATTGTGCACTTAACGTAATGTAGAACAAAGAGATGGTATGATGATTGGGAAGTGGAGTGACCAACTCTAGCTGGAGCCAGGTCACTGGCAGCAAGCTTGGTTAATCACCCAGAGAAGGGAAGGAGGAGAAATGATATTTAACAAGAGAAATCGGTAAAGTAGAATATATGATAAGGTAGAAGCTAAGAAAGGAAATAGAATAATTCTTATTAGAAAACAATAAATCCCAACAAGCAAAGGCAAAAAAAAAAACAAAAAAAAAAACCCATGCAACCCCAAATGCCTATTGGATATAGAAGCAGCACTGCAAAAGCCAAAGTAACAACAAAGAATTTAGAGATATTTTAGAGATTTAAAATTAAGAAGTGGAGGAGTCAAGAAGCTCTGTGAAATAAATACCCTACTGACCAGATCACAGTTGTTTAGCTTAAAGCAAAAAGTACCTTTGGGAGTAAAGTTTTAAGTCTAGAAGACCATTTGTATGAGCAATAAAAGGCAACTTTTCTTTGTTTCAACTGAAAACAGAAGAACCATCCCAACTGCAGCAAAAATTTTGGGTCCAATTTTTAAAATACATTTCCTATCATAGTAATGACATATTTGAGAGTGTGATCAAAACAAACCCCCAAAGCCTTCTCTAGGAAAGAGGTACTTTACTAGGCCATTTGAAATGAATTCCTTACCTGCCTACAGGTAAGAGATGACAGAAAATAGAAGGTACACTGGGCACAGTTGGGGGAAAAAGTCATATTTGTACTTCCTTTTTTAAAAAGATGAAAGTGTATAATTTTTCTTCTTGAAAAGATGATAAGATTTTATAAAATCAAAAAGTACTTTAGGATTATAGAAGATGAGCTTTGGGAATTCTCACTTTGAAACAAACTGTAGATATTTGCTCAAAAAGTGTCACATAATTAAGCCATCCTAAATAGAGGTAGCCCTCCCTTGCTCTCTTTACCATAGCTTTACCAGACTACATCTATCAAACCAAATGCCACTCAGCTTATCTGCTGACAGTTTGGGTGATAAAAATCAAATATCTTGCCACAAAATAACTCCATGCCTAGAAATTAAATGCAGCTTTCTCCTGCCTATATCTAGAACACTGTTTTCTTGTCTTAGATTCCAATGTAAAGAATAGTAATGTATTTAGGTAAATCAAATCTTTCACCTTTAAGACAAATAGCTGATAGCCTCGTAAAGCCAAAAGCATTTAGTTTGTATAATGAAGAGCCAATGAGGTCACTGAACTATACTTAGCTACTTTCAAAGTTGAGCCTTTCTTACAGGATATACCTGTAGAACATTAAAAGGCAATAGTATTTGTTTCTTTTATAGCTTATTATTTCCATGTTCAAACATTAACTATTTGACAAGACTTTTCCTATCAAGTGGAAATAAGTTTTGATGGTAAACAGTTAATCTGCTCATACAGTCTACGGCCAAAGCCTGCCTCTAAAGTAGCCAACCAGTCATCTAGAAAACCTAACAATGGAAGACATGAAGAGGCAGTTTTGAGGGGTTAAGTGAAGTGAAGAAAGAATTGAAAGTAAGCAATGAAAAGGATTCTTCCACATCAGCAGCAAAGTTCTAACTAAAACATTAAGTGTATCTTATAACTTAATGGTTCTGGTAAAGGTGCTTTGTTTGCTGGGTAGTACATGGCAAAGAAAATAACTGCAGAATAGGGAATACAGATGAGAAAAGAAGGAAACCCATGTACCTTCTCTGCATCAAACTTGCGAGTTTCACATCTTGATGGATCTGAGGGCCATTAAAGTCATAAAAAAAAATAACTCAAGTCCCTAAATTAATAGGCTTCAATATGAAATGTATTTAATGCAACAGAAAACTGTTCCCATTTCCCACCCCTCCCCATCCTATAGTGTCCCTCCCTTCCTCCCACAAAACTGTTAACTTAAAATAGAAACTGAGGTAGTTTTAGTAAAAGGATAGCCAGCTATTTGGACAAGGATGTTTTAAGTTCAGTCTTACCCCGAGATTACTAGAAGTTACTTCTGATGAAAGATTTTACTATAACTGAGAGGAAGGAGTGTAAGTCAGGTTTGTGATAAGAATTTGGAATTAGATTAATTCAGTTATTAAAAGAACAAATTAAGTTTAATTTTAAATTAGTCAAGATGTTAATTCCAAGAAACCTAAAGGCAATTCATTTGTTGATTCATTTGTGCAGTACTAATTAGATATTAAAAGGCATGCAATTATTACCCAGATTCCCATGGCCAGAGTGAAGGAAAATGGTCCCCTGCCCCTCTGCACCTGGTACCTTTTCAAATAGATTGACACATAGGTGGAAGAAGTCGCTGTCTGCGGGCTTTCACTCCCCTTTGTTTCATCCCTCCACGGCTGCCTTGTGTAGGAGCCACTTCTCACCAGATTCACAGCTGACTCTCTGTACAGTGTGAAGAAAAACAAAGCACCAATTTCCACTATCCATTTTGTTCATAGTATAATACAACAGGAAGAGAACGGCCAGTAGCAAATTGTAACATCGTTCAAGAAACATATATTTTCTGACTGATTGTACCTTTTGTATACATTTTTTGTTGTTGTTGTCTTTTTCGTTTTTTTTCGGTCCCGGGGATTGAACTCAGGACTGCCTGCTTGCAAGGCAGGCGCTTATGCCGCTGAGCTAAATACCCAGCCCTTTTGTATACATTTTTATATAGACGGGATAATATTGTCTGATTTCTTCTAGCAACTTCAAAGTCTACTAATTTCAATAGGTACCAAATTTCTCAAGTCAAAATCTTTATGTTTTTGTACTGAGAAGTTATTTTTGTTTCTTGTTTAAAAAGCACCTTGAAAGTTGGGCGTGGTAGCACACGCTTTTAATCCCGGCACTCAGGAGGTTGAGGCAGGAGGACTGCCAAGAGTTCTATCTAGGCCAGCCTCAACTGCATAGTGAGTTCAAGGCCAGTCTTAACTATGCAGTGAGACCCTGTCTTAAAAAATCAAAAACAAAACAAACCCAAAGTCACCCTGTAATCAGTCCCTAGTTGTAGGCTGCTTATAAGTAGAGAAAGGGTTGATAAGAGAGACGCAAAAAGCTATCACCATGGGAAGAGGTTACTACAGAAGGGGAAAGGAAAGGAGGACTTGTTTGGGGCCTGTTTAGCATTATAAATGACAAAGCATCCAGGAAGGAACAGTAGTAGAATGTCACATCAACCATTGATAATTCAGGGTCTTAGCTGGGTCATGGGCCTCCAGGCTCCACAAAGTTCTCTAGAACTGTTCTCAAACTTTAATGTACATTTGAATCATGTAGGAAATTCTGTCAGAATGTAGCCTCTGAATCAGCAGTTCTAAGAATGGACCTGAGGTACTGTGGATCTAGCATGATCCCACTTGCTGGCAAGAAGGCAGGCTGGAAGACCAACTTCGAGAAGGTTCTAGATTAGGCTGCACCCTGCGATGCACCAATACTTCACAATCTCTATATTTAGTCTAACTAATAAGGAAGCTTTAAATTTTACCTACTTGCAAATGAGAAGTTCATCAACTCAGGTACTTATGTTTACATTTACTATGCAGTAGACAGTATGCCAGGCACTAGAGGTCCTTGAGAAACCACACAGACACAGACCCTACCTTTACCAAGCCTGCTGTGGACTAAAATTAACCCACACTTGGATGGGCCACGATATTTAAGTCAGAATTTGATGGATGAAGAATTGGAAAGCAAGAGAATCAGGACTGGGAGGTATTCTAAGCAAAAGCAACAAAAAATTCATAATGTTCTAAGGACATCTAGGGAAAAAAGGCAGAGAGGGAACAGATAGGAGATCACTACATCAGAAGAGATAGAGGGGAACATGTTTCAGTTTGTAGTAGGATTACCTGTTTTCTTTTTCTTCAATGTCACTTGTACTACTGAGCCTCCGGGGTGCCAGCAAACTAAAATAGCCTTTGTTTTCTCTTTCCTGTAAAATAAAAATAAGTAAACCATAGCGATACAATATACATCATTTTGCATAAAGAAGCAGAACTTAATATGCCCAAAATAATATTATTATTATTATTTTTTTTTTGTCTTTTTCATTTTTATCGGTACCGGGGATCGAACTCACGACCGCCTGCTTGCAAGGCAGGTGCTTATGCCGCTGAGCTAAACCCCCAGCCCCAAAATAATATTATATCTGGATTCAACACTAATCCCATTTTGAGTGTTATTACAAAAAATACTTCCAAAGGCTTATTCCTACGTTTGCTCCATTAAAATCCCTTATATAGGGAAATAACTCTCATGGTGAAAGTCAGATGATCCAATATAGAGAAAATGCACAAATTACACAAAGCAGCAACCCTACAGTGGTGCATGCCTATAATCCCAGCATTTGGGAGGTTGAGGCAAGAGGACTGCCACGAGTCCAAAGCCAGCCTGGGCTACATAGTAAGACCCTGTTTCCAAAAGCAAAGCAGCCCTACCAAGAAAGCAGAAACCTTTGAATAGTCACAGAGGGCTCTACTCTAATGCTCTCGATGAAATAAGCCCGATTTAGTCTCCAACATCTTTTCTTGAAATGTAGCTTCCTTTGGGACCTGCACAATAAATATGTTGGAGATGTAAATCCAATTAATAAGCCTCACTTCTTCCAGTAGTTTTGAGAAATGCCAGACAGAGCAAGACCCTAATGAACACAATCATTATGTACTGCAAATATATAATAATGAAAATTTCTTTAAAAAGATAGACCATGAGGCCTATGACAAGAGAGACCTGACCCAGAGACTCAAACAAGCTTTACAAAGTCTGAAACCAAATGAATACAGAGATGAATCATTTGTGATTGTACTTCTATGAATAAAAAAATTAAAAGTTTAAAATCTTTAACTAAATGCTAATGCACCTAAGCTTCATTAGGATTCAAAGCCCAACTAAGAAACTTTGCTCCTAAACATCAAAGGAATAAATTTCTGTATTGGTTTAAAAGAACTATTGGGTCACATCCAAATTTTTCATATCCAGTTTTGCTTTATATAAGAGGTTAAATACAATTGAACATAAGGTAAACCGAAAGGAAAAATATATTTAAACCTTATTTATTTATTTTTTTTCTGTTTTGGCCAAGCAAACAACTACTTGATTGAGTTATCAATGTGCCTGTCTCCCTTTAAAGACTTTGCACTTAATACAACAAACTTAGGGACTAGAAACTATTTTGTTTGTTCTCAAGATTGAGTTTTCATAAACGCGGTTTATATCTAGATGTGCTCCCAGGTGGGGCTTTGGGAGTGACTGGACCACATGTGGATATTGCACTTCCTGAAGAGGGAAGATTCATGCTGAGTGTGGGTGGCATCAACAAATAGGCTTATAGCCTGGATGGAATAAAAAGTGAAAGAAGAAGGAAGTCTCGCTGCTTCTCTGCCTTGCTATCCTGTCTTGGAGCTAGTCAAACATGGCCTAAAACCTCTACAAACTGTGAGTTAAAATAAACCTTTCCTCCTCAAATTTGTAGGTGTTGGGTATTTTGCTTTAATAAGTATAACAAAACTGCCTTGGCACCCCAAACTGTACCTTATCTTTGTTGTCCAGTAGAGCAGAGATCCGAGGGCTTGAAGAGGAGCGGTAGATGGAGGAGCTTCGGTCCCTTAAAGCATCCCTGGAATTGGCCACTTCACTCAGCATGTTGTGGCTGCCAGTTTTTCTGAGTCCCAATCTCCATGAAGAGGGAGATTCATCTTTAGCCTCTTCTGTCTTGTTAAAAAGACTAGAGGAGAACTAAAAGAGAAAAAAAGAAAAGCCCTAATGATTCATTGTTTCAACCTAGTTGTTTTTTCCACACTTAACCAGGTTTAGTGAGGCAACATTAAAAAGAATAAAACCAAGCAGGCTTTCTGACAACATGCCCTGCTCACCTAGCAACCCCGATCACTCCTCAAGGGTCTTTCTTCCTAAGCCAGAAATAGCCTCAGATTCTTTTTACGGTGCTACCTAACAGACTTGCTCTGAGAAATAAAATACTATTTGCTGTCCTTATTCAATTAGTACTGACCTGGAGCACCACAAGCTGTATTCTGGAGGGGTATCTGTTCCTGCATTATTGGATAACCAGAAATAAGATACTTTGTTTCTCTAGGTCTCAACATGCTAAATTGTAAACTGATGTTAATGAGCTTAATTCCTCCCTAAAATATGTGGAATCTGAGAAAGCAAGCTAAGCTAAAATACAAATTATGTGCGAAGTTACTATGTAAGATAAATTGATTTAAATTAACACTAATAAAAAATACCTCAGGCCACTCCACACAAATTCTAATTGCTAATCTTAAGAAGTAACTTATTTGATGTTGGGCAGTAGTTCTAAGACCTTTAGATTTCCCTGAACACAAAATTTAAGAAAAAATTTAGAACTCAAGGTTTTTTATTTATTATTATTATTATGGTTACAGAGAACATCTTCAAAAAAAGATGAACAACATACCATCACAGTCATTTCATTGAAAAGAAAGAGTATCAGAAAAGAAAGCTTCAAGAGTGGGAAGAGCACAGTGGTAGAGCACCTACATAGCATATGCAAGGCCCAGAGTTAATTGGGAGGAAGGGTAGAAGAGCAGGAGGGAGGGGGTGAGCAGGTGAGAAAGTGAGCGACCTAGCTAGCATTGTGGAAAGTTTACACTGTCTTTAATTATAAACCAAGGAAACACCATAAATTAGCACTAGCCAGGGACCACTTTGGGGTATAACTGGTCTTTGAAGCATCAATAACAAACAGCCCCTTCATAGGGTGTGTGGACTTTTGCAAGAAAGCTTCAGTTATTCTTCCAATACCAACCATCTACTCTGCCTTGTCTAGTGAAAATGCTACAATGTGTTACATCACTTCATCTGGCAGATTTTTCTTCTCATCAAGCATCAGAATATAGACACTTAGGTGTTCCCTCCCTTTTACAAAATACCTGACTCCAAGAGGAATCCTTTTCTCTTCCCTAGCATTATTCTGGCAAAGTGGAATAACTATTATGTATGTGTTTATGTTTTTAAATTTAGTATTTTTCTTTTTAAACAGGATGTCTGTTCACATCTGTAGGTAGTGGCAATAAATGAGATCCAAGAAAATGACTAGATATCAAGCAAGGACTGCATTCTACCTGAAATTAGCTCAATCCTTCTAAGAATAAACAAGCAAAAAAAAGTAATTCCTCATTTCCACAAGGATTCCATTAGCCCATCTTTCCAATTCACAAAGAACTTAAGATGTTAAAGCTTAACATCTAAAAAATTATTGCACTTTTCAACCACTTCATTCCAAAGAATTCAGATCTGGTTGTTGTCGTTTTGTGTATGTGTGTGCCAGAGATCAAACTCACGACTGTGTACTTGCAAGACAGGCGCTTATGTCGCTGAGCTAAATCTCCTAGATCTGTTCTTAACCTGGAAATTAATTTCATACTTCGAGAAACTAGGGTCACCATTTAACTTTGTCTTCCTCGCCTATGGGTTCTCAGCAACCTGCTGGAGCAGGAAATGCCTTTGGTATTTTGACAAGTTCTTTCTATTTCTTCCCTGTATCCATGAAAGTATAAAGACTTTACTCATGAAAATAAAGTTTTAATAAGAAGTTGAAAGAGAATAGTCATCAAAACAATTAAACCTGGATTTTGTATATTCTCCTAGGTCAGTTTAAACTTTATACCTAGTTATCTTAACTTTAGAAATGAGAAAAACAGGCAAATGACAAAATTTCATTGATTCCAGACTATACTACCCTATATGGTTTTAATATATTTGTGGCCAAGTTATTTGGTGATGGTTGTATAAGGTTTGGGGGGCAATACCATGGACTGATGGTTGTGCCCTCCAAAACTCAGATGTTGAAGCCCTAACCCACAGTGTGTCTTCATTTGGAAAAGGGACCTACGAGGAACTAGGTTATGAAAGTTAAACAACATCAGCGGGGTAAGCACTAATCCACCAAGTCTGGTAACCTTACAAGAGGAAAAAGAGGTATCAGAGCTCTGTCTCTCTCTACCATGGTAGAAAGCAACAAGAAAGCACCCTCTTCGAGCCAGGAAGAGAGGTTTTGCAAAGAACCAAATCCACCAGTACATAGATTCGAGACGCCCCAGTCTCCAGAACTGGGGGCATAATATGTAGTATTTTGTAATGGTGCAAACCAAGACAGGAAAAATGTATCTTTATTGTTTTATAAGAAGGTATCATTGAAGCATTTCTATATGTGTTATTGTGCTATGCAGAAATGTAATACCTAAATTAATTCCAGAGTACTCACTCTCCTAGCAGAAGAAGCAGAGAAGGTGTTCTGAGTTGGCGTTGGAATCTGCTCTGTGATACTACTCTGGCTTTCACAACTGGAATGACTGACAGTGATTTCAGGCTTTTTATCTGTTAAGACAAGAGAGGTAATAATTATGAAAATCTTACTTTTGTGTATTATATCTTTTACAGCTAAAAGAAAAAGTTTTCTCACTATCAAACGAGATTATCAGGGCCATGTAATACCTTGACTCAAACTAGGATGAACTTCAGCAATAGTGGGAAAAAGAAAATAAAATTAATGACTTTCTCATCTTGGCAGGCCCCAAATCCAATTTCAGATGAAAACAGAAAACTCTTTCTACATTATTACTTATCTTATACAAAATTATACTATATAATTACTTATATAAAAATCTATTGTGTTTTAGGAGAGCTGGGCAAAAATCACAGAAAAAAGTAAGACCTTGCTTTCATAGTAATTACAATTAAGATAAAGATAAGACACATTGTAATAATAACACAATCACATATAATTCAGGTATTAAATTGATGCTGTAAGATTTCAGAAAAAAGGCAGATCCTCTGAGGCAGGAAACAATAAGGAGCTGCTACACGGTCCATGTTCTCCAGAAAAATGGAATGATACAGGCATCTGAAGGAGAATGTCAACTGGCAAGTGAGAAGGAAGAAAGGATGTGGAAGCTAAGCAGGGTCAGGCCTGGTTAGTACTTGGATGGGGAGAAAAGGCATGGATAATGCCTCAGAAATCAAAACACATACATCTGTTGGTCAGTGAAGAGGCCATCTATTCCAAATAATGAGATTTCTTGGGGTTACAATAGGAAATAAAGGTAATAAACTTTATAGAGGATGCAGGTTAAACTACAGAGCCAAACCAGTCACATAACATAAATAAGAGTAGTCCAACTCAGTGGGGTCATCAATCAGAAAGTTGTCTATTTTGCTTATTACTCCCTACTAAATAACTAGCACAGTGCCTACACCTACTGGGTACTGGTTCTGGTCTATGTACTCTATAAACAGAACCCCAGTGTTATCTATGAGCTATGTGACAATTTTAAGCCACATTGTGTGTTATATGGGGTAAGATATTTATCACACCTGAACATCTCTCACGTATTAATCAGAGATTTTCATTCTTGCCTTATGAAAATGTTACGGTCAGGGTTTATAAGGGCAAAGATCTAATACAGGATAAGATAATTTAGAAAATTTTAAGTAACATTCACTGAAGAGTCAAATGCAAAAGAGTGCAGATCTGTCCACACACTACAGCCCCAAAGAATCCAGTGGAGGACCTTGGATCCCATGGCACTGTATTCCACAAGTCAAGCTGAAGACCTAGAACCCATGGCAATGTCTTCCGTGAGTCCAGCTGGAGGCCTAAAGCCCACAACAACGTCTCATGCAAGTCTGTATCAACGATCTGCATTGGGAAGGCCCAAAGGCCAGTGATGGAAGCTAGAAAGTCTGTATCAGCAGAATGAACTATTTGTGCCAGCAGGCTGAGAGATCTGCATTGCAGCCGGGAAGTGATGCTCAAAGTAAAGATCAGAGCTCCCCACAAAAGACCTATAGTTCATTTTCAGTGACAGTGAAGACTTGAGCTCCTCCAAAGATGAGAACAGCTGAATTTATATGAGGAAACCCAGAATGGCTGGGGATTTAGCTCAGAGGCGTAAGTGCCTGCCTGGCAATCGAGAGGTCATGAGTTCCATCCTCCGTACCAAAAAAAAAAAAAAAATCAGGAAACCCAGAGTAACAAGTTTCTCTAGGAAAATCAACAGTATATCATTCTCCCCTCCAGAGCCAGGAAGTGATGCTCAAAGTACAGATCAGAATCATCCCAAAAGCAAAACACTGCCATCGTCAGCGACAATGAGGTCCAAAGCTCCTCCAAAGATAAGAACAGCCAATATTAGGAAAACCAGCGTGACATGCTTCTCGAAGAGAATCAAAAGCATACCCTCTTCCCCTCAAGTTATGCTGCTGACAGCAATCCTCAGGTGAGCCTTTCACATCCAGCACCATGCTGATTCAGTTCAGCTGGGTGTCACAGTTGACCACAGTTCAATCCAACACAGAATTATTATAAAGATTAGAAATAATGTTTTTAAATCTGCATAGCTCACTGGCTACAGCAAGTGCCCTGTGTTATTATTGTTATTACTTTTGTGGTTACTGTGAATATTCAAGATAGTCTTGAAATACTGTTGGAATATGTGTAGCTTCAAAAAAATACAGCTTACTACGCAAATATGGTAGATTATTACAATAAGAGCTGCCAACAAATCATGCCTCCCGGAATCTATACCACTGTGAACAGTCTTTTCATAATGATTCTGTGCTTAGCCTGATAACTTTCGATGGTATCACTGTGGTGGCACATGTGATACAATTAGAGTCTTGGAAAGTGCTTGTACACTGAGATTTACCTTCTAATTGTTTCTGGGATCCAGCTACCACATGAAGTAGCAGCTAACCTGCTTGATGACAGGAGACACACGGTTCTCTTGCCCTAAACATCCTAGCCAACCATCAAAAGGTGAGTAATGCCATCTAGTTCCAGCCATCCCTCACCTGATTTACCAAGTGACCATGCAAACATGGATGAGCCCATCATTACCATGAGAAACACAAGCCATCCAGCTGAGGCCTTTCCAAATTACCACTCTATAACTGGGTGCACATAAAGAATTATCTTAAGTCTCAATGTTTGGGGATGGATTACTATGCAGCAATAGATAAATGATACACAAATATTTAAGGCAAATAAAAAGGTAAAAAAAATTATAAATTAAAATGCTTATATTGACCTCAAAATATAATTCATATTCTTCACTACAAGATCTGTACATAAGAAATAGGAAAATTATCCATTTTATGAAATTTTATCTGTGGCTCTTTAAAAATGCTATAAATAAATATCTTACAAATATTTGTTTAGTACAAAGATACGTGACAGGCAACATCTGGAAAGGTTTAGGTATAACTCGCTTCCTTGCACTTTTCCAATTTATTTACTGAGCACCTACCATATAGGGGCACTCTGCTAGGACTATGGCACACAGAATGAAGAGCAAGACACACAATACATTCATATGCTTCTACAACTTGCCAGTGGGGAATGAGAAAAAATAAATTATTCAAATACTAAGCAGCATATAAAATAGTTTCAAATATACCTAGAGGAAACAGAGGAGGGGAAAAAACCTCCATGCATCCATAAGAAGAGGCTTCCTAAGAGACGCTGACTTGATCTGGGTTTTGGGACATGAATAAAATTTCAGTTGGCAGAGAACTACAGAAATGAGTAGAGAAGCTTACTGAAACCATCTGGCTTCTGCCCACACCAGGCTACTGAAACTGCTCTCTAGGATTACAAATAACTTCCTAATTGCCGAGTCATCCTTGAGCTCTCCCTTCCTACGACTGGCCTGGCTTCTGAGGCAGAAATGTATATCCTGGTTTTTTTCAACCTGTCTGATCACATCTTCTTTACCACCTATTCTGATTCCACTTTACTTCCTAGACACAGTATGCCCGAGATTCTTCATTATTTCTCTTTTCTCTACAACCTCTGACAATCTCATCCTTCTCCACAGTTTTACCTTTCACCTCTTACACAGACAGTCTCCATTGGTACCTTACAGTTTCAAGGAGTTCCAGATCAAAGTCTGGATCTCAGCACCCCTCAGGTTGACTATGAAATATAATTCATCTAACCTTCTATAGAATCAATTACCCATTCTAAAAGAAGTGATAATGACAAATACCCCAGAGAGTGTTGTGAAGGTTAAATAAAAACATTTAAGTGCATTTGCAAAATGAAAAGTGCTATACAGATAAAGTTTTGTTACAATTCCCTGAACTAGGCATAATCTTTCATGTCCATAAATACCATTGATAGCATTTATCTCATTCACACAACATGTATTTTATACACAGATACCTTTCTATTGCCCTATTAGATAGAAGCAACAACAAAAAACATTTAATGAATGTGAATAACTTTCATATGCCAGGCATTGTGTTAAGACCTGGATGTACAATAAACTCAGAATTCCACAAAAATTAGCCTCAGCTAGAGCCATGAAGGATAGTAGCATTCTCCCATGATGGAGAGAAACTATGTCAGCAAAGTCAAACCTCATCAGAAACTGGAGTTCAGGCAAGAGTGAGTTAAGTATCTTCATTATGAGTAGGCCAACTATGACAGAGTTCAGAAAAAAACAGACTCTATTATAAACTGAATATGCAGCCCTTCTCCTCTAACTTGATCTACCTGGAAACATTTCTCTTGTTACTGATGTAAATCTGAAGGGATAACTTGCCAGCCAATATAGGGCATGTGTGCTTAAAACCTTAGCTTATCATTACCTTCCATGCATCTATGAGAAACATTCTGTTACAGCTGAAAATCTATCAAGTAACGTGGTATATATTTCTCAGTGTTCATTTAACTATGTCAAAACCTATGGGCTATTTTACAGCTTATTGGTCTAATCAAGGTCAGTGTTCAGTGCTTCAATCTCACTGTTAGTCTCACAGACTAACCCATCTTGTTAAATAGTAAACTTAAGAAGTTCCAACTGATGTGTAGCTAGTCCTTTATGGATTTCATATCCATGGATTCAAGTAACTATGGATTGAAAATAGTTGTAAAAAATTGCATTAGTACAGAACATGTACAGATATTTTTAAATTTCATTATTGCCTAAACAATCAATCTGACAGCTATTTACATGGTATTTACATTACTTTACATTAGTTAGTACAAGTAACCTAGACATGATTTAAAGTATACAGGAGTATGTACATAAGTTAAATACAAATACTAGGCCATTTTACCTAAGGACTTGAGCATCTAATGACTTTGGTATCTGTGGCGAGTCTTGAAACTAACATCCCATGGATTCAGAGGAACAACTATATATGCTATTGCTAACAGTATTAGAAGTTAGTATGATCTTGTTCCTTCCTTAACCTCCTACTCCAGAACTGAAGGAACTTTACATGAGTGAGTGAGTGAGTAAAAAGTGCAGAAGGAAAAAGAAAAGAAAAGAAAAAAATAGATTTTAGGGAACCAGCCTAACCCAAGAACTCTACGCCAATTTTTGCCAATTTGTTACAGGTTTTTGACCAAAAGTAACTTCACATGGATCTCTGCTTCTCAGCATGTTGACCTTTTGAAATTTAATCACTATGCCATCTACCAGTCCAAGCCAGGACACTTGACTCTCCATCTCAAGAATTTCCTGTGCATCTTATCATATGGCTGCCCAGGAACTCATAGATATACTCTAACATAGCTCGCAGATTTTATAACCAATTAGCAATTTGATAACTTATTCCTGAAAACTGACTGTTGAGCTCTTTTAGGTGTACTCCGAGGCCAGGCTAGCTCTCTAACAAACAGTGAAAATGGAGGATCTCGGCTGTGAACATCTTTGTATTACCTGCCTCCTTCTCAGTTTCTGACTCAGAAGCTTCATCTTCACCTTCTTCCTCTGAACTGGAGCTACTAGATTCTTTGTTTTCTTCTTCTAGTTCTTGGAATTTGAGTGTGTCGTCCTCATATAGCATCTTCTCTTTGCTAAATTAAAGATACAATTTGAATGCAAGTCACAAGTGACAAACCACTTTGATCAATGACAATCAGCTATAATATAGGGAACGAATCCATAAAGCTGTATGCAGAAGCAATAGCAGGAACATTCAAATCCTTTTTAACATCACTATGTTATTCTGCACACTTTTTTTTTCAGATTAAGGTTTACTATTGACTTCAGGGTATGACTGAAGATGGACTTTGTAATCCATCACAGTAACCCCATCCAATTGAAATGCTGAGGCAGGAGAATTGTGAGTTTGAGGCCAGCCTGGAAATTTAGCAACTGAGTCAGACTTAGCCAGTTTCAAAATAAAAAATAAAATCACTGAGGATGTGGCTCAGTGTGAAGGCCCTAAGTGTAATCCTTAGTGCCTCCCTCTGACACACACACAGGACATGTACACACACGTCCAGAATATGACTGAAGGAGATAGAGCCTGTTCAACGCACAAAGAAAACTATAAATTGGTCCGATGATGGGAGCAGATACATATTTTTGAAAATCATTCAACAAATATTTACTGAGTACTTGTTACATGCCAGCAAACATGCTAGACACTGATTTAAAGTAAATAAAATAAACATAGTTCCTAAGCTTATGGAATATACAGGATAATAAAGGAAGCAGAAGAGACTAAGAACCACCATGGCAGAACAGAAAAACACTGCATACATACACTCTCAATTAATTTCTAATTTTAAATCATATTCATGCATCTTTAGTGTTTTTTCCTCCCATATCAACGCCATCTCCTTGCTCACAAACATTCCCACATGTTTGAAGATCATCTGGCTAAAGTCACAGTTTCTACATGTTATAAATTCTGAAGTATGTCACGCCCACCTCCATTCCCCTTATAGCCAAACTCATCCAGCCCTCAGGCCTAAACATCTTACTTCTTAAAGAGTCCACTCTGCAACTTGCTGTTTAGGTCTGATTCAATAAGTTTATTCCGTGTTTCCTTTTCACTTCGAAGCTAGAAATTGAGAAAACAGAAAAAGGAAAGAAGTTGACTATGGTGAGAGGTCAGCAGTATTGAGAAGAAACAATATGGTGCTGTCATTTCAAAAAAGACAGGACCAACAGCGAAGAGAGGCAGAAGAAATCGAGGAAAAGAGAATCACATTAGTTGACACTCCCTGGAATAAAATACCAGAAGAAAACTCCTTATTCCAAGGTAGAAGAGAAAAGTCAAGTGCTAGAGCATTGAGAAAACTGCCTGGTTCAAATACCCCAAGCTGAATCTTGCAGAAATTCGTAGCTTCTGGAGGGTACAAAGCCAACAGAAATTTAGAAAGAATTTGTTATGATTCATATTTGGAACAAGATGGAAACACTTCTAAAGAAAATATGTATCAAATGGGAAATAAGTCCTTAGAGAAAACAATCATATTCAGGCGCATGCTCTAGACAAAACATATTTATTTCCCTGGAGCCTAAACTTATGCAGGAGACAAGGATAAATATCATTTCTATTAGTGTAAAAATGTCATTTAGTAAAGGTGTTATTCATGTTAAAAATGTAACTATACTAGGCAAATAATATATAGGAACTCTACTATTTTTGTAACTTCTATATGATCCTAAAAATTATTTCAAAATAAAATTGTTCAAAAAGCAAAAATGGGGCTGGTGATTTAGCTCAGCGGCATAAGTGCCTGTTTTGCAAGCACATGGTTGTGAGTTCGATCCCTGGTACCGATAAAAAAAAAAAGCACAAACAAAAAAACTATATAAAGTATGTATCTTAAGTTAGGGAAGTTGCTGCTGCTATATAAAACTACTGCTATAATACTGCATTTGGAAAGTCTCAGCTTTCAGTAACTTCTGATTGTTTAATAAAGAAAACAAAATAAGCTAGTTTTTGTCTCAGCTTTATGTATACCACTTTCCCATTGAGTTTAGAAGTACCAAGAATCTTTGCCTTACTACCCAGACATAATGCTATACACATCCAAGGGTACAGATGGTAGATTCTCCCATCATGAGCTTTATCATCCTGATTCAGAACTGCCTTATATCCCATATTTTTCCAAACTTAAGTTAATATATCTTGTGCCACAGAACACGGAAAGGAAAAAACAAAGGAAAGCCAACGATTTTTTATCCTGCAGTTGAATTTTATTCTCCTTGTTCAAATAATTCACCTTTTTATGGGTAGAAAATAAGAAAACTTATTTGCTTTTCATCTATGCATTGAGAGGTTGTTTTCCACTCTATAGTCTGTACATGGCCAACACACTTACACAGGTCTCCTACAAAACACTAAGCAAAACAGCACATGCAACAAGACATAAGAGATTTCAAGTGAGGCGGAGGGAGAAGAGGACATAATTCTGGATGATTTACAAATCTGGAATGAGTTTTAATAGTGGTTTTAATAGTGGATTTTCTAAGAAAGACATTTATTACTCTTTGTAATGAAAATACTTTAAGTAAAAATATCCTTTTGGTCAATAAAAAAAAAGAAGAAAGCTATAGTGTTTGTTATTCTGGTACTTCCTAATTAGAAAAAGTTTCGATTTGAACATATTCATTTTCTAGAACTTAAGGCTTATTACTAGTTTCTGTTAGTAAGCTGCTTGAAGGCTAGCTTATAATATGCAAACTTTAATAATACAGTCTCTAGGTTGCTTCCTTCTAACAGATTGGTAAAAGTTTCTGAATGAAATAACTAATATCTCTGGAATAAAGATATATCTAGTTCAGCTCTCAGTAAACATAACTAAAGCAAGTGTCTAAGAAACCCAGTATGGAATGCAAACTTCTGGAAAAGCTTTAAAGTATCAACCAGAGACTCACCACATTCTGCTTCTTCTGAAGCATCTCCAAGTGTTCCACGAGACTCTCATCAGCCACATCAAATGGTGTCTGGCCCTGGCAGAGAAAGGGGACACCATGACTGATAGAAAACTGATGGAAGTAGTGATCGCGTGACTTTATCAGGGACTCCTCAATATTTACTTCTACCTGTGATTCTAGTGATACAGGCTGCATACCCCTCATCCAAAATGCTGGGGACCAGAAATGTTTTGGATTTTTTTACATAGATATGAAATATCTGAACAATAGGACCCAAGTCTAAACTGAAAATTCATTTGTATTTTATTTACACTTTATCCCAAATAGACTGAAGGCTGCTTCATACAATATTTAAAATATTTTTGTTCTCATAGTGTGGACTTTTCCACTGAAGACATTATGTCCACACTTAAAAATTTCAAATTCTGGAGCATTTCGGATTTCAGATTAGAAGCTCTACCTGTAGCTGCTTCACTAATTAGAAACAACAAGCCCTTAAAATGTACTTTTATATCGTGTAAAACAGTACTGAAAAAATTGCCATCACAAGCTTATTGCTTATTGCCTCCTAGGAAATCATCAAGGGGAACCTTTACTTGTACCTATTCTAATTTGTGTGAGGGGTGTTGGGAATGAAACCAAGGGCTCTGTGCATAGTAAGCAAGAACTTTCACTGAGCTATATTATATACTGTCCAGTCCTTGTGGTGAGGACAGAGTCTTGCTAAACTGTCTAGGCTGGTCTCAAACTTCAGCCTCTACTGCCCTAACCTCCCAAGTAGCTGAGATTACATTCACCATCATACCCAGTTCTAAAATGGTCTTAGCTATAATAATAAATTCAATAAAGGACCCTAAAACCTAAGAGGGAGATCCAGGGCAGATGCACACTAAAGATTAAGTTACAGGACTCATCTCCTTTAAGCGAGAGAAGGGAGATAGGGAGGTAATCTGTTTCAGGAAACATTAGCATGATTAAGGGCCCTAAGAATAAAAATTAGGTTCAGGATAGATGTAAACAGATAAGAACATCTACTAATTAAAAGATCAAGTCTCTGGATTCCTGGAAAATCAAGAGACATAGGGATAAGATTTTAAGGGCTTCTAAATTGCTTGAAGTGATCTTTAAAACTCAAGAATCTTTGTTATTACAACATTTTAATGACTTAATCTGAATAAAATTCAGCTGTTAAAAACTTTGAATTGAAAAATAATGAAATCTTTTATACTTCACTGTAGATTATGATCTTAGGTTTCTCAAAACTCATAAGGGGAAATATCTTTTTTATCTGTTTTAACAGTTTCAATAGAGATAGAATCATAAGACTAGGTTACCAGAGTTTTATTTTTCATAGCAAACATATCTTTCTGTTAATAGCAGAGGTGGGAGCAAGCTGGTGGAAGGCAATAACATAGCTACCAATGATGTGTATTTCCCCACAGCAGTCACCTGTCATTGCACAGAGACTGTAGGCCTGCTGTTCTATAGACTAGGCCACAGTCTCACACTAGAAGTGCAAGCTCACTAACCAGTTTGTTGCAGACATCCATGTCACAGAGTGCTTCTGCCAGGATGGAGCAAGCCTCCTTCAATCCCCAGTGCGCAGCAGCATGGAGGGGAGTCCAGCCATCATGATCCTGAACATTGAGTTCATAGCCAGCCTGAATTAAAAGTCTAAGAAGAAAACCCCAAATAATATACTTATCTCCTTGATTTTACAGTTTCTTTCTTGCCAAATAAGCTGCCAAATGGCCCAACTGATATTTGAGACTTAGTCCTGCCACATAAGGCATATGTGCAGCTCCATAATTATTAATTTGAGCACCAATCATACATCATTGTTACCAATCCCTTCCAAAAGGTCGCACAATATGGTGCACCCTACATATGTTCATGATTTACCATAAAATGGGACTATATGGACAGCTGTATACCTGGGATTAACCAAAGGCTAATTCAACTAGCCAAAGCACACAGCCCCATCATAGGATATGATTTGTATTTTCCAATTAAGGGAAACATTAACATATGAAAAGACTTAAATCGTCAGGGTATTTTAGTGTTCTGATTAATCTAAGACATTATATGATTAGGGTAGAATCTCAAACCTGCAAGTTTGCAAATGTTGTCTTCAGAGTATTCTTGCTAACTATAAAGCCATACTCTAAGTTGTACCCATGTTATGCAAGAGGAAAGATATGGTTCTGAAAGCTCCAAATTGTACGGGCTGCTGGAGGCTTTTTAACGTGGGTCTCCAGACACCTTTTAAGAATTGTACAAAGTGGGAATGTCAAGTTCAGGCAAAAGTGGAGCTCAATACACTGCTACATCTACTAGAAATCCCAAATTAGATGGAAAATAAAGGACTCCAGCAGCAAGTACACTTACAATGTCTTTAGCAACCAATATGTTTAATGAAGCCTGTCAACATTAAGCAACAAGAGTGACACAAAGCATGTGTAGAAGCAAGGGAAAAAAAGAATAGATAAAAGTATTAGAGTCCAAATCCCTCATGTAAGTTTGACTATGTTATTCCATGTAGAATTGATCTAATGAGCCAAAAAATTACCTGTGTTAAAAAGGACAAAATGGGGGCTGGGGATTTAGCTCAGTGGCATAAGTGTCTGCCTGGCAAGCATGAAAAATAATGAAATCTTTTATACTTCACTGTAGATTATGATCTTAGGTTTCTCAAAACTCATAAGGGGAAATATCTTTTTTATCTGTTTTAACAGTTTCAATAGAGATAGAATCATAAGACTAGGTTACCAGAGTTTTATTTTTCATAGCAGTTTAATCTCTGGTACAAAAAAAAAAAAAAGCGATCACAAGTCTATCCTATATTATAGGTCACAAGAAGAGGTTGGAGAATTAATGACCAATTTAGAGTGGAAACAAGTCTTGACAGGTCACTTCAAACCCATTATACCTCAAGTCTGTTTCACATAATATATGTCAGAGAGAAGCTACAGGGATAGTAGGATGAAGGCAGACTATTTGTGGAGCAATATGTGAGGAAAAAACCCTCAGTAATATGTGAGGGGAAAAAAAAAGGCCTGCGTGATCAGAGAAGAAACCAAGGAAAAAGGCAACACATCATAGGGAAAGGTCTAATTCACCCTCTGCTTCCAAAACTCATCTCTTCTTCTCCCACAAAACCAGAATTGCTTCATGTAAATGGACAATACCTGAGGACTTCAGAGTAGCCCTTGGCAGCAGCCACATGGAGGGCTGTGGCCCCCGAGCAAGCCTGCCTCACATCTTCTATTTTCCCACTGTTGAGCCACTGGCGGGCATCCTGTAACATATGCTGCTCTTCTTCCTTTCTTGACTGCTCTAGATCAACTCCTACAGAAGCCAGACACCAGACAGCCAACATTATTAAAGTTCCACATAAGCCTCACAGGGTATTTCCTTAGATTCAAAACACATCATAAATATAACCACAAGTAACAAGTTGGCCATTATCAAATTTAGAAAAGCAATGGCATTTGTATGTACATTATTGGTCTTAGCAGGGTTAAATTATAAGCTAAATATGTGATGCAGACTCACGAAGGGAACAAACCTAAAACTGTTTCCAATAGAACATAAAAATTCAAGGGAGGAAATATTTTACTGTATAATATAGTTAAACAAAGTTTTTACAGGTTAAATAATTTTAGTTTCCCAACAGTGCTTTGAGATAAATATAATAGATACTATGATTCTCATTTGCCAGGTGAGAAAATAAACATGGAAAAGTTGGTGCCTTGCTCAAGGCCACAAAACACATCAGTGATTACACATGCCATTAGAACTCTGGGTTCTTTGTAGTAAAAGCCCTTCCCAGACCTCATTAGCATGTAAGAAGTTTACATTTATAATCCCATAAGGAAGTTGCTCAAATTCTACTGAGTAAATTCCAATCTACCACTTCCAATGCAACCCAGAATGAGAATAAAGACACTAAGGCATATTTGTAGTTGTTGGAAGACAAGGGGGTCCTAAGTCGAGCTAGGGTGATGACTAACTGGAACAAAGACCTCAACCCAGGGCCAAACCTAGGTTTTATTAATTCATGAAGAGGGGAGTGGCTCAGAATGAGCGACTGTGAGAGTGGCAGAAAAGTTCCTGAGAGCTGTGAACTGGGCTAGGTAAGAGGCCTGAAATCACATCTGCAATATACAGAGAGGCAGATATGTAGAATGAGTAATTTGCATAACACAATTTGAGGCAGTATATACGATGTTTTGGGGTCAGTGCTTCAGCTCTGATGTGCAACTTTCTATGCCCTGAAATGTCAGGCCTCTTTCTTGAGGCTCATTCCTAGCTGACAATATGAAGAATAGTTCTTCCTATAGCCTAGATCCCATACACTTCTTGGGAGCTACAGGGCTTCCTTGCTTCAAAGACTATACATCAACACCCCAGCTAGACTGATTTATATTGTTTAAAGCCAACTGTGGGGGATAAAGAAAAATCCTAGCCAGCTCTGTACATATCAATACATGGAAATAGGGCCAAGTTTAGCCAAAATGGAGATAACGGCCTCCACATCCTACGTCCTTGGTTTTTCTTTTCCAGTCTCTATATCATACAATGAGGGTATCCAAAATCTTGATTTCAGATGTGATATAGTTTAAAAAACAAACTATCTCTGCAACTTTTTTTTCAACATGTAGGTAAATACACTGACCTGAAAGTTGCATATATTCAGTAAAGTGAGTGGGTGATTGATTCACAACTTAATCAGTCTGCTTTCAAAGGGATATGAATTCTGTTTCCCTCAAAAGCATTATAGAAGCCAGACATGGTGGTGCATGCCTATAATGTCCAGCTACTTGGGAGGCTGAGGCAAGAAGAATGCAAGTTTAAGGCCAGTCTGGGCAACGTGGGAAGATCCTGTCTAAAGTAAAATTATAAAAAAGGGCTGAAAATGTAGCTCAGTGGTAGAGTAGAAGGCCCTGGACAAAATCTCATACTGGGACCACTCACAACCCCCCCAAAAGCATGGAGGGACTCTGAGGGTTCCTCCCTTTAGCCAATAACTTTCCAATATCTAGGCCAGTGAAGAAAGCTAAAGTAGGGGCAGTCTTCTTTATAGATAGTGAAATAGAGCTGGAAATGGTGGCTCACGCCTATAATCCCAACACTCGGGAGGCTGAGATGGGAAGATCGTTTCGAGTTTGAGACCAGCCTGGGCTACAAAGTGAGCTCAAGGCCAGCCTGAACTGCATAGCGAGATCCTGTCTCAAAAAAAAGACAAAAAAAATAGTGAAATGTCCCAAACACAGTGCATACCCATTCAAAGAGTATACATATCCATTAGCAGTCTTTATCAGTATTTGATCTGTGCCCTCCCAGCTTTTAAATGAGAATCTGCGAATTACCTATGAATTATATGTCTGATCTGGGGAATGAATGGGATGAAGAAGCCTCCAATAAAACAGATCAGAACTCTACACACTGAAGAGTTAACTGTGCTACAAAGTTAGGCACATATAGGAACAACTGCTCCAGTACAGCATGTGCCTTAACTGAAGAGTCAGTCAGCAAAACAGAAAAAGTAGGTTCTCAGACCAAGATCATTTTTAAAAACTAGTTAAAAATATGATTTTTAACCTGCAAAACACATCTCAGGAGATGAAACTACATGAGACAAAAGGATAAACCAAGCACAAAAGTGTCCAGTTCAATAAAGCCCAAAAAAACTATATACAGAGGCAGCAAAAACAACAGCTGTTGACATTATTTTAAGGTAAGCTCCATGTGCTTTCTATAAAGGGCCCGCTACTAAGTATTTTCATGTCATCTCATCTATCAGAAATACCCAACTCTGCTGTAGTAACACAAAAGCAGCTTTGGACAATATGTAAACACATCGCTCTGAGTATACCAAAAAATCATATTAAGAAAGGCCACTGGAGTTAAAACTGACATATGCTACAAATTGTGGGTAACCTTGTTTAGCAGTGCCCTCCCCACCAAATCACTGCATCTCATGTCCAGAGTTCTGTGTTAGTTCCAAAGACCTATCTTCCCTGTTCTTTTCTTAGATTAAAAGAACCCAGGGGCCTCCAGTTAGAGAATCCCATTCTACTCCCTGAAATGAATTCTTCTGAAACTACAAAGTAAGAATAAGCATTTTTAGAGTATATTCTTCTAAATTCCACTTTTCAACAAACTATCACAATAATTTTCATGGTTAGTACAGATAAAAGATCACTTCAGAGGTTACAATACATATTTATATAAGCACTACTTTTAGTTTTCTTTAAAAAAAGATATGAAGTCACAAAATGAATTAATGAATATAGCCATGCTGTATCCCATTTTTTCTTTGGACCCTGCAATGTGTAAAATTCAACATAATGTGCACACAGTAAGAAATATGGGCACCTCTCATCAAGTCACCCTAACTATTGCTTGGCTATATGATCTCAGAATGGCATTTGGTGTATTCCTGTGTGAGTTATTAAAAGGATACATGACGTTGGGAACTGATAATGCTGTGCACACAGGTCTAAACCTTTCCTGTCCTAAGATAATCAGAAGATCTCCACAGTGAACAGACTGTGTGCTCTAAGGGGGAGAATGAGAGTCTCCCTTAGCCCTACAGATTTCCCAGGTTACCTTGCTTCTTCACTTGCTCCAGAAGAAGATCCCGCATAGCTGGCTCTTCTGCAAGGTCAGAGGGGACCTCACCTTCACTGTTCACCATACACACACTTGCTCCGTGATTAATGAAGTACCTGTGTGACAAGACCCAGGAGAAATATTATCTCTCAATCTAATACCAGTTTATACTTGTACATTTGAAGTTCACTGTGGAGCAGGGCCTATCTGGAGATTTAAATATGTCATGGTTTATGTCTGTGGCCCCCAGGTCTCATGTGCTTGCATTATGCATTTGTGATTGGTTCACTGTCTAGTGCTTGGATTGATGGTGTCAGTGCTATACCGACATAGGGGTGGAGCCAGGATGTAATGTAATGGCAGGAAGGAGATGTGTCTTGCTCTTTTGCCGGTTTCGGCCTTGTTGTTTGCAGCCACCATGAACTGCAGCCCAGCCATGCCCGCCTGCTTTGGAGCCAACTGAGTGTGGACTGAAACCTCCAAAAACTGTAAGAAATAAACCTTTCCTTTCCCAACTTTGAGCTTTAGGTATTTTGTCTCAGCAACAAGTAAAAAGTAACTAAGACAGTACTGATATTATAGTCATGGTTGACAAGGGAATAGATTTAATATAGGACACACAATTTATAGAATTGTTCTATAATATTCACCCAAAGAGTCAAATGCAAAAGTGCAGGAGATCTGTCCACACACTAGAAACCCAAAGAATCCAGTTGAGGGCCTGGGATTCCACAGCAATGCCCTTTGTGAGTACAGCTGAAGACCTATGGCAAAGTCTACACAAGTCCAATTATAGGCCTAGAGCCTATGACACTGTCTCATGCAAGTCTGTATCACGGATCTGCACAGGGAAGGCCCAGAATTAGTGGGGGAAGCTAGGAGGTCTGTCCCAGCAGGCTGGGAGATCTGCGCTGGTGCCAGGAAGCAACGCTCAAGGTTGAGGACCAGAGCTCCCCCAAAGTGAAACCCAGCCAACTTGAGCAATAGTGAGGACTCAAACTCCTCTCATGATGAGAACAGCTGAGTTCACATCAGGAAAACCAGCCAAGCTTCTTCAAAAGAACCAATAGCACACCATCTTCCCCTCCAGTTCTGCTTTTATGCAGTTGGCACCAATCCTCAGGTGGGCCTTCCACACCCAGCACCATGCTGACTCAGTTCAGTTGAGTGTTACAAGTTGATCATTAGTTAATCCACCACAGGTAGTTAATTTCCAACTCCCTTAGTCTTTAATGATAACTTAAGGAAGTTTCTCTAAGAGAGTTATTGATAAATGCAATGTCAACAAGATTTGTTTCATATTAGCATTCCTAACCCTACACTTTCACTTCCAGTGGATAGTATGGCACTTTCTAAATCCCACAAGGAAGGCATTGTGGCCCTTAAAATTTACCTACCATCCCTGATGCCCAGGTTTCCAAATGGACTTATTGCATGTGAAATTATAGGGATGAAAGCAAGCCCCCAGAAGTTATAAAAATAATTCTCATAAAAAAAGTTTCCACTGCCACCCTGAAGTTTATTAAGTAGCATTCTGTGGGTAAAAAACAGAAAAATAAAATATACATCAAAATTTACATGAATCCTCCTAAATGATATGTCCACAAAACTTTTTCAATGGCCATCTACATGAAAACTTTTGCACTTAGAGGAAACTAAATCACTGAAGAAACATTAAAATACTAGCTAAGATCTAAAGCCACATAAATACTTGATCCTAAAAAAGGAATAAGCTGATAATTTTGATGACTTACATTGGATTACTTTTTATTTTCAAAGTACTATCACAAAAAACTATACCCCGAGTCTGAGGCAAGAATATGAATAAACAATGTGGGTACCATTACCCCCCTAAACATACATATTTTAAGAAATTGAAGTTCACACAGTGAGTAATTTAGTCAAAATCACATAACTGACAAATGGCAAAGGCTACTGCTTGTCTTTTGGATTAAACTCTCATTTACCTTTTCTATAGATCAAACTATTTCTGGGACAGTGAGTACTTTAGTAACACTAGGAATTCTATCAAATATTTCTGAATAAATATATATTGGTAGAAATACTCATTAAGAAATATTTAACAGGGAAAGAAAAGTTATGCAAATTCTACTTCAGTCCTTTCACAATTTAATAAGCATGTATTGGTCCACTAATATATTCACAGAAACATATTTTAGGCACTACAGAATAATGTTTTTATTTTAAAGAGATTAAGATAAAAGAGGACATAACAAAGCATATCAGAACAGAACAATTTAAACAACACAGTATTTCACCACATGACAACCTGAAATAACAGTAGCTACCATAATGTTTCTTTCCTTGAAATAGTTGATCATATCTTCATACATAGTAGCATCAAACGTAACAAAATAGCAAAAAACCATTAAAGAGAATTAAAGAATTACAGGGTATTCAGAACCAAATAACATACTGTCCATAGTTACTATATTATATCATTTCCATTAAAAATTTGTTTATGCTACCACACATGATAAAATCCAGTAAGATACTACATGATAGAACCAATGGAAACAGAACAAAAGTACGGTAGGACTTCAAAACAAGATGATATTAAATCAGCATGGCTATTATGTCTTGTTTTCTTCAAAATAGCTGTTCATACCATCGCTGATAATAAAATCAAACAACCCAGGATAAAACCATTCCAACTAATGAATGTAAACATTATAAGGCTTCAAAGCAATGTAATGGGGAATCATGATTACCATAGACATTTTTGTACTCTTACCATTTCTTACACTAGGGAGACTATTATACAGTATTTATACATGTGAGTCTGATTTATTTCACTTATGAGTATGATCTCAAGTTTCATCCATTTATTTATAAATATCTCAATGAGATCATTCTTTATAGCTGAGTAGTACTCCACTGTATAAAAATATCACATCTTTTTAATCCATTTCTCAGTTGTTGGACACTTTGGTTGTTTTATAAACATGGGTGCACATATATCACTGTAGTATGATGTTTTCAGTTCTTCTGGGAATATGCCTAGAAGTGGAATAGCTGGAACAAATGGGACTTCCAATCCCAGCTTTCTGAGAAATCTCCAGACTGACTCCACAATGGTTGCACCAGTTTACACACCCACCAACAGTGCAGGAGAGTTCCTTTTTCCCCACGGCCTCTCCAGCACTTGTTGTTGGTAGTTTTCTTGATCCTAGCCATTCTTTCTGGGGTGAGATGGAATCTCAGTGTGATTTTAATTTGCACTTCTCTACTGAGTAATGATGATGAACATTTTTTCATGTATTTATTTGCCATTTGTATTTCTTCATCTGAGAACTGTGTATTTATCTCAGATGCCCATTTTTGGATTGGATCTTTGAATTTCAGGGGTTTTTAAAAATTCTTTATATGTTTTAGACAGAAGTCCTTTGTCTGAGGGACAATTCACTAAGATTTGTTCCCCAGTTTTCATTATGGTGGAGATTTCTTCTGACATGCAGAAACTTTTTTAATGAGATATGATCTCAGTTATTGATTCTGGGAAGTATTTGCCATGCGGTCTGATTCCTGTTCATGAATTGTCTACCTACCCCTATGTTTTCAAGATTTTTATCCAATTTGTCTTCCAACAAATTTAGTGTTTCTGTTTTAATATTCAGATCTTTGATCCATTTAGATTTTAGTTTAGTACATGGTGATAGGCATGGGTCTAGTTTTAGTTTTCAGCATATAGAGAGCCAGTTTGTCCAGCACCATTTATTAAAGAGACTGTCATTCTTCCAGTGAACATGTTTGGCCCCTTTATCAAAGATAAGGTGGTTGAGTGTATTTGTAGTTGTGGTTTATCTTCTAATCTATTCCATTAATCTCCAGATCTGTTTTTATTTCAGTGCCATGTTAATTTTATTACAGTCACTTTGTAGTATAACTTCAAGTTAGGGATGTGATGCTTCCTGCCTTACCTTTGCTGCTTAAAATTGTCTTTGCTGGGCTGGGGACTTAGCTCAGTGGTATAAGTGCCTGCTTGGCAAGCACACAGTTGTGCGTTTGATCCCCAGGACCAAATAAATAAATAAATAAATAAATAAATAAATAAATAAATATATCTTTGCTATTCTAGGTCTCTTCTGCTTCCAGATGAATTTTAGGAGTGATTTCTCTAGATCTATGAAGTATGTTGATGGTATTTTCATTCGGATTACATTGAACCTGTATAACAGTTTTGGGAGAATGGTCATTTTCACAATATTTATTCTTCCTATCCATGAACAAGGGAGGTCTTTTCATTTTCTGAGATCCTCTTTGATTTTTTTCAGGGTATTATAATTTTCCCTGTATAGATCTTTTACTTTTTTCTTGAGGTTAATTCCTAAGTAATTCATTTTTTTTTTGGATGCTAATGTGAAGGGTGTAGCTTCTCGTATTTTTCTCTCAGTGATTTTGTTGTTAATGTATAGGAATGCTATTAATTTTTGAGTATTGATTTTGTATCCAGCTACATTGCTGAATTTATTTATTATAGCTAGGAGACTTTTAATGGAGTTTTGAAGGTCTTCTATGTAGAGTATCATATCATCTGCAAATAATGATAATTTTACTTCCTCTTTTCATATCTTTACCCCTTTTATTTCTCTCTCTTATCTAATTGCTCCGGCTAGTATTTTCAGTACTATGTTGAATAGGAGCGGTGATAATGGACAGCCTTGTCTTGTGCCTGATTTTAAGGTAAAGGCATTCAGTTTTTGGCCATTTAAAAGCTGTTGGTTTATCATAGATGGCTTTTATCATAGTGAGGTAAAGACCACCTATTCCAATTTTCTATAAGGTTCTTATCATGAATGAATGCTGGACCTTATCAAAAGCTATTTCTGCATCTATAGAAATGATCATGTGATTCTTACTTTTGGATTTATTGATGTGGTGGATTACACTTATTGATTTATGTATGCTGAACCATCCCTGCATGCCTGGGATGCATCCCACTTGGTTGTGATGTATAGTCTTCTTAGTGATTTTCTGTATCCTGTTTGCCAATATTTTATTGAGGATTTCTGCATTTATTAGGGAGATTGGCCTGTAGTTCTCTTTTTTAGTTGGGTCTTTCTCAGGTTTTGGTATTAGAGTAATATTTGCTTCC